AGACAAGTGACTGTTGAAAAGTGGCTGTTTGTTCCAAGGGGTGTTTTGAAAAGTTGTGACTGTTGGAAGCACCTTTTCAAAATCTATAAATAGTTTATATTTTCAGATATCAACAATAATTCTTGCTCTGAATCTTTTCTATCAAAAACTTCTGCAATATTACAAACTTGTTTCACAACGAATTAAGGAAAATTCCAGATTTACTTACTGGAATTTTTATTTTCTGTTGTATCCTGGGAAGAAAATTTGCATTAACCCGAAGCAACTTTGAATATCAAGTGGGGGCAAATATTTCTTTAAGGAAAGTGTTTCACGCCTCAGAATTTCTATCTAGTTGCTTCGGGTTAATGCAAATTTTCTTCACAAAAAGTATTAAAGTTATCAGAAAAATATTCACCACCTCTATCAGAACGTAATACTTTAATTTTCCTTTCAAGTTGATTTTCAACTTCTGTTTTGTGGGCAAACAACGGACAAAACGTTCCTGGAGGGGGGGGGGGCGTCACGGGGGGCTTGTTGTCGACGCAGGGCTCCCAAAGACCATGGCCATTTTGTTGCGCGGGGGCGTGAAGGCGCAGGTGGTGAAGTTGGGGAGCATGGAGATATGGAGAGAGAGCGTTGAGGAGCCCAGGAATAACACCTTGTTTGGATGGAGGTTAATGAATAGAAGTTAAAGTGAAATTTCAATTTCACCTTGTTGGGGAGTTTTTTTAAGGGGTTAGAGGATGGAATGGAAGGTTAAATTTCTTTCCATTTTCCTCCCCTCCAATTTAGGAGAGGGTGGGGGGTAGACGATGGAATGGAAATCAACGTAAAATTTTACAATGTGATAAGACAATTATATCATTATGACATTAAAATCAATGTCTAATATATGTTCACATCCAATATGTAAGGGCATTTATGTAACTTTATACATATTCATTTCACTTCTCACATCTTTATTAAAACTCTCAAACAAGCTAAAACAAATTTACTTATGTTCCCCTTACTAACCTCACAAACAACATCTTATTTTTTTCACTTTCATTCCCTACTTTTCCTTTCCATTATTTAACTTTTTGTTCCTTCCCTTAGTAGACTCACAAACAAAGCATAAATGATGGGTGTGTGTTGGTGTAATGTGAAAGCACCCTAATGCCACTAGGAAAGAACCCTAAGGGGGTGAATAGGGTTTATGCTAATCTAATCCGATTTAAATGTCAATTAAAACTAATTAACAAATATCCTAGCAAGTATAATATGTAACAAGATATATATGCAAGGATATACAAATATCACAAGGGTAAGCAAAATATAAATAATATAGTGGATGAAATAAACAATAAGAGAATGACAATAAAGATGAACAAAAATATAAGTGCACCAAGCCAAACTCAAACACAAGATATGATCGTCCCCACGACCTACGTCTCCGCTCCTCACCTCGAAGAGATCTCCACTATCACAACCGAATTTTTTACGCTCACCCAAACAACGTTTACAACTCACAATCGATTTTCTAGTTCATCGAAAACTTTACAATCTCACACTCTTGCAATCACACTTTACACCCTCTAAGTGTTGGTCTCTAGCCCGTGTCTCCCTCAAGTGTTAAGAATTACAACCTACCTCTAGGCATTACCACTTACCCTACTCCTCTTGGGACGACCCTATCTCTCCCCACATACTTCTCTCGGTGTACAAGTGTATTACAAAGTGCAACTCACAATAAGGCTCACAAATCAAATGATAGTTCTCTAAACAAGGTGAGAACTCAATTAAGCATAACTTAAAGTTATAATCTCTCACAACCCCAATTATACTATGCATGAAAATACTAAAAGCTCAAGTGGGTGTGTGTAAGAATGAGATTTAATAAAACAAAATCAAACTAAACTCAATATAGATTCTAGCTTATGAAAATGAAAACCAAACATATAAAATAGCTAGATTGAGTTTAGAAAAACTTCTCTATAGATAACAAGAGAGAGGGAGAAGTGTTGAATGCTCAAACATCAATAGATGATCTCCACTTGCTCTTGTGAAAGTTTCTTCACAAACTAAACTCTTAAACAAACTTAAACCCTTTAAACAAAACTTGTAAACTCTTTTTAAAACTTTTCTCTTCATAGTTATGAACTGAGGATATGTGGGGGTATTTATAGGAAACCCCGAAGCCAAGAGAAAATAACAAAACCCAGCAAAAAGCCAAAAACAGAAAAGCTAGAAAAAACTAGCCATTGAGCAATCAGTTGACTGATCACTCGACTGATGAGCTGACCGTTAGAGTCAGCATCCAGCTCGTCGGTTGACTAATGACTTAATCGGTCGACTGATGACCTCATCAGTCGACTGGTCAGTCGATTAAAACAAAACAAAATTTTTTTGTTATTCCAGATGATTTTTTCAGTCGACTGAACACATTCATCAGTCGACTGATAACACTGTATCAGTCTGATTAAAACAGAAAATCTGATTTTCAAACCTCTTTTAAAAATAGCAAATAAAATCAGAAAAATGTAAAACTTTAGGAAATGATTGTAAACATGATAATACACATGTTACAAAAACTGGTTTTTAAAAAGCATCTCCCAAATATAAAATATTATCATTTTGCAAATATATCCAAAACATGAAAACTTGAGACACTTGTGTTTTGTCATTTTGACTAAACCATGTTTTGAAATATTACGAAATAATTTTATAAACTTAATAAAATATGTATAAAGTGATATTGAAGTCTATAAACTAATAAACCAATATTTTCACAAAAACACCTATATTTTAATAAAATCAACAAATACGTGTGTGTGATTAATATGAGCTTAAAGTATTAACACACAAGATATAAACCTATACTATAAATACTATAAACTATATACCCAAGCTTGATGAAGGTCTTCAATGAGCTCGACTTAGTAAATATGCGGATGAAGCTTGAACTTGGATCTTCAACTTGAATTGTATTGCTTCATACCGATATTTCCGCCAACCTCCATTTGATATGATCGTTGTGGTGCAATTCCATCCATCCTCTAACATATTGTTTGCCTAGAATAAATACTAAACACAAACACTAGACAAACAACATTAGTTGCAAATTATTTGTTTAATCGTTATCAAAACAAAAGGACCCAACATAATGGTGGTTTGGAGAGAGACTAGAAAATCAATGGGTTTAGAACCTTAGAGGTGAGGGTAATATTGTCCTTTCAAGTATTATAGAGATTATAAAATTGATGGGTTTAGAGGTGAGGGTAATAGTGTCCTTTCAAGTATTATAGAGATTAGAAAATTGATGGTTTTAGAGGTGAGGGTAATATTATCCTTTCAAGTATTATAGAGATTAGAAAATTGATGGTTTTAGGGTAATATTGTCTTTTTAAGTATTATTTAACAAAATTTCTAACAAAAAATTAAAAAAGACTAAATTTACTTCTAACATGGTGTATGGGGACTAAGGGCCCGTTTGAATGGACGTAACTGTTAGAAGTAAGAAGTGGATCAAAGATGTAACTTTCTCAATTATGAAGTAGAAAGTAGCGAAAGTAGTACTTATTTTGTTTGTTTCATATATTTTTAGAAGTAGCGGAAATAGTACTTCATCATCTTCTTTTATTTATTTGTTTGTTTGGATAGAAATTGGATATATTATTTAAGATCATTTGCCCTTGGTAAATCTCTAATTTAAGTGGACCACACTTTTTATCCACTTCACCTCTACTTCTGAGCTTTCAATGGCGGAAAAAAGAAAAATTCCACAATGACCCAAAATATTGGACCAACAATGGGACAGGTGAGGTGTCCCCCTTCTATTGCATAATGAATTAGTCATCATTAATGATGGACAACTCATTATGCAATAGGAGGGGGACACCTAACTTGTCCCCCCGTTGGTCCCATATTTTGGGTCCCTGTAGCAAAACTCCGGAAAAAAATCTAGGAAGTGGGAATGTCACCTAGACGTCACATCTGTATTTATGGAAGTCGCTGAAATAGTCTTTTCGGAGAAACAAACATAATTTTTTGCTTAAACATAACTTTTTACTTCATCTACTTCAGTTATTTCTTTGCTACTTTCGTGCAAATAAACATGCCCTAAGTTGATTTTAAGAAAGCATGTGTGAGCACTGTCTTTTTCGGGGGTGGGGGAGGTTGGGATTTGAGTATGACGCTCTAGTATGGGGGATCAAATTGGCCTTTTAGCCTATTTTTTCTGGCACTTTCATAACTATAATTTACCCTGTTTAACTTTTACATATCAAGTTTTTCGAAACTTCAAAACTTTGTTACCTCAATGTTTACATATTTTTAACTTCATACCCATACTTTGAGTATTGAAGTGTCACAAACTAAATTCTGTTGTATCAAAGTGCCAAAAAAATTCTAATTCATCAAATTTATAAATGGTGTAAAGTTTAAGATATTAAAGTGTTTAAAAAAAGTTGACGATTAACATTAGAAAATGTGTACACTTTAGAGTACCAAATTGTAAGACCCATTGGGATTTAAGGGACTAATGAGCAATTTTAAAGATTTGGGACTAGTAAATAACCAATAAAATTATATGAGGTTCTCTATTAGTCCCTGACATATTCAATAATTCCAAATTAGTTCCTGGAAGCCTCGAAATGGCTCATAAGTCCCTCAAATCATAAGTGGTTTTACAAGTTGATCTCTCAATGACCAAAATGCTCTCGGCTTAGATATCCCCCAAAATTATATATATATATCATATAATATAATATATATTATATAATATATATATATTATATATATATATATATAGTATATAATAATATATATTATATATATATATATATATATATATTATATAAAGACAATGGTTTTGATTACTGCGCGGACCCATTTTGCTGAGACCCTATTGGATTTGATGGACTTAGAGCAATTTCAAAGTTTGTGAGGCGACTAATATGGTATGCATTTGAAATATGAAGGGACTGATATCTAAAAGTTATATGAAACAATTTATATCTCTTCTCAGCAACACTCTCAGCTAAAGCCCTGGTTAGAGAAGAGGAAGAGAGAAAGAGTTAATGGCACCTCGGCCGTTGGCTTCTCAGTCTTCTCTTTGCCCATCTTTCTCTCCCTCCAACTGTTCGGTCTGCAATTTTTTCTCATTTCCTTTTTTTTATTTATTTTCCCGTTTCATATGTATCAACTCTCTTTTTGGCTCTAACTTCTTTGTTCCTTTTGATTCTAATGGCAGTATATAGTTGAAGGCCTAGAGGAGGCGAAGCACCAAATAGCTAGTTTATGTCCTCCAAATTCCCACAAGTGGAGGATGGTCATAGCCTATGATGGCACAAATTTCTCAGGTTCATCCCAACTTCATTTCTCTTCTAATTCATGATAATTTTCTGTCAAGCAGTAGCCTGATTGTTGTTAGTTCTTAAATTGAAGCGATAAGTGCGCTTCTTGATTGATTTCTGCTGTACCCATTTTAGAAAATCTGGTTTCTCATCTGAAATTGCTATCAAAATTCATTTTTTACAAGAAACCTCTATGTTTGTTTAGTTTGCTTTTTTTGCTTCAAATTAGCATGACTAAAAGAAAGGAGGGCTTCTGGAGTTTCATTTGATCGGAGAATGCTTGGAAATTGAAGAAGAAATTTATAGTACAATTATAAGACCAACAATGCTTTATGGGTCGTCGGGCAATTATCAACATGTGCAAAGTGGCAGAAGTGGCAGAAGGGAGAATGTTATGATTGATATGTTTATTATGCACTTAGAGGTAAGGGTAAGAAATCAGTGCATTTGTAGGAGTTTAGAGGTTGCTACGATTGAGGATGGAGCGAGAGATAATTGAGTGTAGATAAAACGGAGGCCACTAAACGCGTCAGCTAGAAGAAGAGATTAGATTATGGTAATGTTGATTGGGCCATTTTATCTTTTAGAAAGCTTTGTTATGTTCCAATCTTGATTGGGCCATTAATCCTATAGAAAATTTTGATTTTCAGTGACTTGCGCTTTATTTTAATGTCTGCAGGAATGTATCAAAGAGACAAAATTTTACTTAATACATCTCGTCAAGGTATAAGAAGGACATCAAAGGAAAGTGTTAAGCTCTTCCCTACTAAAGACAGAAAAGGGGGAAAGTTCAGCCTGATCCATCATTTTAGTCACTGTAACACGTATCATCCCTGCTAGAAGAGAAATCACCTAACAAGCTACAATGCCGAGTGAACGTCTATTGTCTAAGTACTGCAAATTCTCAAAAATCTGCAAGAAATTAGGAGATAGTGAGAATGCTAGTTATCATAGTGAGAATGCTAGTTATCTCAGCTTCTTTCTTCGGATCACCCTCACCATTAACTAGGTCCTTGTGAATCTGCTAGAGTGGCAGAGCTTTTTGATAGCCAGCTAAAACTTGACATTAGCACTTTTAAGTTTACAACTAGGAGAAACATAAACTGAAATATTCATAACTAATCCTTTGTAGTTTGAACTATACTTCACTAACTTTTACTTAGTACCTTGTATTATTACTTTCATCTTCCTTATGCTAAGTGTTGTTGTGTGACTCAAATCCGTTTTCCCCAAACCCGAATTGTCTTTGACTGTCTCTGGAATTAACCGGGAACATGTTGCAGCAAGTGCTATGGTGTACGAGTTATGCATTGGCTAATTTGTGTTCTGTTTGGACAATAGCATTAAGCCCTATTGTTTATTTGGTTAATGGGAATTCTATATCTTAGTGGAAGTCCAGCAAGATATTGTTAGGTGGTCCAATTACATGGAATTAAATTCCAACAAAGACTCCTATGTTCACAAGGATATTCATGTAGGTTCTTTCTTTAAATACACTAATGGATGAAGATGGCAGATTGTAGCAGCAGTGGCAAAAGCATAAAAACCTTGCAGGCTGAAGTTATTTCAGTGAGATCGAAGCAAATTTGTTATCTTTTCGGCTCTCCTTTGTTCCTTTGTTTGAGAGAGATTGTATTCGGCTTTAAGGATTTTTCTAGGGATTGAGTGATTGAGAGATCTCCACATTGTATTCCTCACAAATTAGTAAAGCTATTCTCCTCATTCGCTCGTGGGCGTAAGCTACAAGCCGAATCACATATATCTTTATGTTAGTATGTTCTCGATATTATTTGTGCTTTCGTGTTATTGATATTAGTTTACAAATTGGTATCTGAACACTCAGCTATTGATCGGATAAGAAGATGTCGACAACCACTACAAAGTAGGATATCGAGAAGTTTGACGGCAACATCAGTTTCAGCTTTTGGCAAGTTAGGATGATTGCCATGTTGACACAGAGCGAATTGAAGAATGCTTTGTTTGAGAAGTTGAAGGAACAGTATATTGTGACGGAAGAAGATTGGAATGAATTAGATGATTAAGCTTTCATAGCGATTTAGTTATGTTTGACTAACGAAGTTTTGCAAAAAATTCTCACGGAGAAGAAAGTCTCTGATTTGTGATCTAAGTTGGAGGATTTGTATTTGATGAAAATCACCTCCTCTTAAAACAGCGTTTGTACACACTTCGGATGTCAGAAGGTACACCCATCAAATCTCATATTAGTAAATTTAGTTCTGTGGTTACAGATTTGAGTAAGATTATTGTTAAGATGATGAAGATCAAGCTCTATTGTTATTATATTTTTTGCCGCCTTCCTACAAGCACTTCAGGGACACTATGATTTACGGTCGAGATTATATTGGCATTAAGGACATCAAAAATAATTTGTTGAATAAGAAGAAGATCGACAAAGAGTTAATCACAAGCGAAAGTGGCGATAAACCTGATGACTTGTTTGTTTGAGGAAGATCAGAAAAAAGAGGCTTTGAAGATAACAGAAATAAGTCAGAGCATAAGAATCTGACCTGCGGATATTACAAGAAGACAGGGCATATCAAGGCCGATTGTTACAGGCTGAAGTACAAGAAGAAACAAGAAGGGTATGAAGAGAAATCAAAGAAGAACTTTGCTGAAGTCGGTATTGTTGAAGATATGATTTTGTTGGTTACAGGTGATAAAAACAAGAGCATGGATGATTGGATTTTGGATTCGGGTTGTTCATATGTGTCTTAATCGGGACTGGTTCACCACTTATGAAGCTATTGATGGTGGAGTTATTCTTATAGGAAATAACCTCTCATGTAAGACTATTATGAAGGGCACAATTCGGATTAAGATGCATGATAGAGTCATAAGGACTTTGACTAATGTTAGGTATGTTTTAGTTTAAGGAAGAATCTCATATCTTTAGACACACTTGATAGTCTTAAGTGCAATGTTTTAAGTAAATGTAGAGTTCTTAGGGTTACAAAAGGTTCTCTTGTGGTTATAAAAGGAAAAAAGATCGGCGACATGTATGCTTTGTAGGATTCTACCGTTATCGGTTCGGCTGCAATTGCATCATCGATATCAGGAGTTGATACTACTAGATTGTGGCATATGAGACTTGGTTATATAAGTGAGTGTGGATTGGCCGAGTTGTGCAAGAAAGGTCTTTTATGTGGACAGAGTATAGAAAAATTAGGATTCTACGAGCATTGCATCTTCAGAAAGCAGAAAAGAGTTAGCTTACAGACTAAAGGTACTTTGGATTATATCCATCAAATCTTTGGGAACATTCTCAATTTGTCTCGAATGGTAGTAGTTCGAGATATTTGTTAACCTTAATTGATGACTACTCTATGAAGGTTTGGGTCTACTTATTGAGACATAAAAATGAGGGAGTTGTGACTTTCAAGCAGTGAAAGTCTTTGATTGAGAAGTGGACTAGGAGTCTGATTAAGAGGCTTAGAACTGATAATAACCTTGAGTTCTATGGAGAAGAATTTAATGAGTTCTGTAAGGAGCGAATCGTTAGATATCGCACAGTCTGTTGCACACCGCAACAGAATGAAGTGACAAAACGTATGAATAGAACCCTTTTGGAGAAAGCTCATTATATGTTGTTTAATGCAAGTTTAGATAAAGAATATTGGGCAGAAGCGGTGAATACGACTTGTTACTTAGTGAGTCGGTCGCCATCTACTGCTATTGGTTGTAATACTCCAGATGAGGTTTAGTCCAGTAAGCCTATGGATTATTTTAATATTAGAATATTTGGTTGCCCTGCATATACGAATGTCAGTCAAGGGAGACTTGAGCCTCGAGCGAAGAAGTGCATATTCTTAGGTTATGCATCGGGTATTAAAGGTTTTATATTGTGGTATCTTGATCCGAAGTCTCCTAAAATTATTATCAGTCGTGATGTTACTTTTGATAAATTTGTTATATTATATTAAAAACAGTCACCAATTTAAGTTGATGATAAAACACGCACTATAGAGCAAAAGGTAGAGTTAGAAATTCGTGATTTAGCTCTTCAAGACTACAGGAGTTCAGCAGCCAGATTCCATTCAAGTAGATGTAGCACCTCAGCAACTACAGGAAGAGGGGGAATACAATACTGCTAGAGATCAGTCTATACGAGATATTCGACCACTGCGAACATATCAGGATACGATAGCTTATGCATTGTAGGTTGACAATTTTGTGCCCTTTAGCTATTCAAGAGCTACTTCAGGTGATGACTTCGCTAAAAGTTACGACCGTCGTGCAAACAATTCAGTTGATTTGTTGAGAAGGTCTCTTTCATTTGGCAAGTTCAAGTCGGGCTTGGATTTGATCGATATTTGCCACACTTAGTTGCCCTGCGACGCTATTGGAGAAGGCGGAGTAAGTTAACTAATTTTAGAGTGAGGAATTTCTACGCATTTGAGTCAATGCGGAGATTTGTTGTTGTGTGACTCAAATCCGTTTTATCTAAATCCGAATTGTCTTTGTCTGCATCTGGAATTAACTAAGAACATGTTGCAGCAAGTGCTATGGTGCACATGTTATGCGTTGGCTAATTGGTGTTCTTTTTGGCCAATAAGATTAAGTCCTATTGTTTATTTGGTTAATTGGAATTCTCTGTCTTAGTGGAAGTCCAGCAGGATAATGTTATTTGGTCCAATTACATAAAATTAAATTCCAACAAGGACTCCTATATTCACAAGGATATTCGTGTAGGTTCTTCTTTAAATACACCATTGGATGAAGACTACAGATTGTAGCAGCAGCGGCAAAAGCATAAAAACCCTGCTGGCTAAAGTTATTTCAGTGAGATTGGTGAAGCCTATTTGTTATCTTTTCGGTTCTCTTTTGTTCCTTTGTTTGAGAGATTGTATTAGGCATCAAGGATTTTCTAGGGATTAGTGATTGAGAGATCTCCATATTGTATTCGTGACAAATTAGTGAAGCTATTCTCCTGCTTCGCTCGTGGACGTAAGCTACAAGCCAAACCACGTATATCTTTGTGTTCGCTTTTGTGTGATTGATATTAGTTTATCCCAGGGTTTTGTGATAACACTAATATCTTGTAATATCCTTAACCAGGTACTGACCTATTGGAAGCAATGGAAAATGGATATCCCATTTGTTGACCCCTTCAAATAAACTCCTTCATTAAATCTTTGTTTTCTAGTAACCTCCATTATCTATTAACCTCAACAAAAATGGTATTGCTTGTAGGAAGTTTGTTTAATTTGTTAACAGAGATATAGCCACATGATAGACATGCAAATTTAATTTTGTTTTCTGAAATTTTCTTTTCGAGTAAATTTTCCAAAAAAGGAATCCAAATTTGTCTTCCTCCTAAGAGAACTCACCCGTTATCCTTATCAAAGAGGGAAAAAATCATCAGGGACCAGGTCCTTCCCAAGAATACATCACCATTACGAGGAACCTAGCAAACCCTCAAACATATTTTAAATATTTGAAAACCTTTCAGTTTGGGTCAGCTTCACATGGAGACAAGATAAACATTTCCAGTGTAATAAGGATTAGTGTTTCAGCACACGCCCATATTTGTACTTGTGTATGTGTGAGTGAATGCATTTGTGCACAGAAGTGTCCAGCATAGGATGTCTTGAACATATGGTGAATGACATGTCTACATCTATGTGCAAAGATGTAGTTGCAACTGACTTGATGAATGCAAATGTCAACATAACCAAAATTGTTATTCCATAAGATTGATTTACACATTTACTTGATTAGATCATTGTCACTTGATATCTTGGAGTGTTTGATCTTGAGTTAGAGGTGATATCATAATGTTGAAATGATAACTTGCAAGATCATCTTTAGAGTGTTCTAAACTAATGTTAAGAGTCCAATTCGCAAGTGTTTGAAATGACAAGAAAAAGATAGAAGTATGAAAACGCAGAACACCTGATGGACATTCTCTGTTTTATTTCATGTTCTATCTCATAAACATAATTATTATAGTTGCTTTTCCCCTCTAAATGCATTGCAGAAGTGTGTTACTCCATTTTGTCTTCTGGTTGCTAAGATTTTGAAAATTACATTACAGGCTGGCAGTACCAAGCATCACCACCAACTATACAATGCTTCGTAGAGAAAGCACTAATGCAAACAACTAAGCTAGACCGCAAGGAGCTTTGTCTTGTTGGTGCAAGTAGAACAGATGCTGGTGTTCATGCTTGGGGTCAGGTTTGACTATCTCATGTACATAAGTGTCATCCAAACTATATGAGCATGCATTGATTTTAGAGATGTACAATCGTGTTGTTTTATGTCTTAAAAAAATTATGAAGACATCTTTATCTGTCTGCATAGTGTTTTATATATGGGTTAACTGCTGATAGACCCTCTATAGAGTCCTGTTCTGGACTTACTACCCCTCTACTTTTATTTTTGCAGCAAGACCTCTGACTGAATTTGACTCTTTTACCCTCAGGGGGTCTATTTGTCAAGAAACTATTTTCTCACACTTTGAGGCTACAAGAGTCAAAAAATTCGCTTGGGGTTTGTCTGCAACAACAAATCCAGGGTTAGTATGCTCATAACAGAGATATTACAGGGGTCTATCCGCAATTAGCCCTTTATATTTGGTTATTCTGTCTTTAGAAGATTTGTTTTTGTTTTGAAGTCTTACAAATCACCAGATCAACGATATGTGACTGTGCTAAGGTTTCAGGTAGCACACTTTGTTACGCCTTTTACCTATGATGACGGGCTAGAAAGTCTTCATGCTGCTGTCAATGGGCTTCTACCCTCCACAATTAGAGTCCGAGAAATTAGCCCTGCGAAACCTGAGTTTCATGCTCGTTTCTCCACAATAAGCAAAATTTATCATTACAAGATATATGATAATCCAGTCATGGATCCTTTTCAATATCGATATGCCTGCCATAGTGCTTATAAACTCAATCCCGTTGCTATGCGAGAAGCTGCAGCATATTTCGTGGGGAAGCATGATTTCACCTCTTTTGCTAATTCAATACGCAACAATCATGTGCGAGATCCTGTGAAAGAAATTTTCCGGTGTGATGTCACAGAAATGGTATTTACGATATTTATGTTTTTTTACTTCTCCTTTCCTTTTTTTTCTTTTTTATGGGCATGCTTTAACACACTATCTTATTCTGTCATTTTATAGGATTCTCTTCTGCAGCTTGAAGTTGAGGGAACTGGTTTTTTATACAAACAAGTCAGAAACATGGTAATTTCATTTTCTACTATTTGATTATTTCAGAACGCTCAAGATTCTTTCTGTTATTTACTAGTTGATAAGCACAATCTAGAGACATCATGCTTCATATCAGCAAAAATCCTTTCGCCTCTCAATATTTTAGTTGTGTGCCAATTTCTATTTGATTTTTCTCACATATATACTTCAAGAGAAGCTTGAACAGGTTGAATGATCCATTTTTGGTTTACAGATTGTGCAATCTTATAGACGGACTTGTTTATCCTTAGGTAACTTGCATTAAGGAGTAGTCCAGTAAATAAACATTATTAGCCAATTAGATAATCCAATTTCAAACGGCAACAATTAATACATGCTTTTGCAAGTGTTTTTGGACAATCAAAACTAAACTTTAGAAATCAAAAGCTTGCTTATAGCCAGAATAAAGTTTTACACAGTTCTTGACTTCGACTCAAACTTACACGAAAGCAGTTGCAACTGTGGGGCAAGAATCGAGCAGATCCTGCCTAAGCCTCAAGAAGTAGGTCCTTAACTATATAAGTCAGTGCGGTAAAATCGTCAGCTAGGGAAGCTTAAATTGTAGATATAGCATTTAATCATTTGACAAATAAAGCTATTACTGATCATCTGTCATTTATCATAACAATACACCTTTACCATTTCCTCCCTGTAATAAGTAATACGAGGCATCTGCCCATTAATATTATCACTGCAGGTAGCTTTGCTGATTCAAATTGGAAAAGAGGCACTTCCACCTGATATCGTACCTAAGATCATCGCTGCTCGAGATCGCAGAGAGCTTGCGAAGGTGACACTCCCGGCTCCACCTCATGGACTATGTCTGATGTCTGTTAACTATGACCATGAACTTCTTCAACCTCCTGCAAATTTCCCACCTATTAGTTTCGGAAGAATTCATACAATCAGTAGATGTAAGCTTTGGCATTATTAGCAGACGAGGTACCTCAACGGAAAGCAATCCAATTTTGTTCGATTATTCATCTTGTTATCTTAGTTTCTTGCCTCTGTACTTTGATCCAGTTTTAATTAAGGCGGTTTACAAATGTAGTTTCCTTGTGCTGCTGTAATAAGATTGTATATTTGTTTTTTTGTTTTTTCCCCCTCTCAAATATGTTCCATTTAACTCCGATGTCACAAGCATTATGGACCTAACTTCTAACTGCAAAATGAAAGCAAGGATTTTTTTTTAATTAGAATAATTTTAACTTGGAACCTTTTTTTTTTTTGGTGGAAGAGAAAAAAGAATGAGATCCCCAAGCAAGAGCTACTCAAAAAGGATTTAACTTGGAACCTTTTTTTTTTTTTGGTGGAAGAGAAAAAAGAATGAGATCCCCAAGCAAGAGCTACTCAAAAAGGATTTTCTTCCATAGCATGCCAATAGTTAATTATAATTTTACATAACTCTGTTAGGAAGGCTAAGGTCATTTGGAAACCAAACAGCTCATTAACCAATATTTTCTTGAAGGAAAATGCAATGATGCTAATGAGGATAAAATCTCCCATGCAAAGCATGGAGGATGCTTTAATTTAATGATGATGGGTTTTTCAAACAAGGAAGAGACTTTTTGCCGAGGGACACAATCTCTAAGATGGCATGTTTCTTCATAGATAAACAAGGTTAGTACTCTTGAGATCATGCATTGAGGCTAGAGGACATTGGTTTATTTTGTGGTATGCCATATATTGATAGTGAATATCTCTTAGTGATCTCCTAGTGCATGTAGTGCAGGTTTGTCATTCAATTCTTAATAATCAGGTTGTACCCAAGTGGACAAGAGGGATTTTGTACCTTACAAAATAATTACTGGGCTACCCTTGCATGTGAAGGACATAAGCTTCAACCTTGAGGTTGGTCTGATGAGAAATTTGTCTCTTGACGTAAAAGTGAGGAATTTAATTTCATCAAAAAAATATGATATTAATTTGATCTCTCTACCATAGAGCGCCGAATGAGGTTGAGATTGACCATAACTACAACTATGTCTTAACACAATCAATTTTGGATTTAAACCAAATTCTTATGATTTTTAATTGAAGTCCAACCTAGATTTTTGGTCCGAATTGAGTTATCCTTGATCTAGTTAGGCCAATTGACACCAATGAGTTGTATGTTTACAAATCCTAAATCTTAATTCTTGATGATTTTATAAAAGAAACATAAATTTCTACTACTCATATTATCTTATGTGTGAAATACGGAATATTGACACAATTTTATTGGACGTTTCTCTCATGAAGAAAATATAACTGGATGAACTATGAACTCTCTTTCTATAAGTATGAAATAATATATATTGTTTTCCTTAACATGATCAGTAATTTAATTATGATACAGGGATATGGAAGTTCCTTTTGTTTTTCTATCTATTCTTGAATAGTTAATTTTAAAAATATGTGTAAATTTTATTTGTTGTATTAGAATGTGCGCTTGGCATAGTACAAGCATGGCCCATACCTGCCCATCTATTTAGAACATGGAGTCGGCCATAAGAATTGCAGCCAATACGTAAAAAACTGGCATTGGACTCAAAAAAATTAATTGAACCTAGATCGCGCTTATACGAGTCTAGACTTGCCCCTACATGAGATAAAGACTAATCACGGAGATGAACATAACACAAATTGACTCAACATTAACTTATGCATGCACAAGGGAATAGAGCTTACCCTTCTTCCCTAGATTGACAATTCTTACAATTAATAGAATCTGTATCGTTTCTTGTTTTTTTAATAGTGCTTGGTTGTAGAAAACGGAATTCCTTCAAAACACTTCAATGAGTTCTATATATTAAGTCAAGAATGTAAATTCCTTTTTTAATACATCTTGCTGAAAGAAGATAAGATTCCTCCCTTTTAACCTAAAAGCGATAACAATAACCAGATCACCACAAGGACAAAAAAAAAAGAACAATAAATAAAAATAAATCAATAAGTAGTAGAGCAAACACACCAATCAGAGCAGCCTTCACATTGGATCATAAGATCATCAGGATTGTAAGGCATTTCACATTTGCAGAATCTGCACCAACCAACAGGCAAGTTAGCAAAACAATATCTGTTACACCTAGTTGTGTGAAGTCAACAGCAAAGAATAAGCCAACTTGCTAGATTATGACTTGAACTCTTGTATCAATTATATTGCTAGGGGAAAAAATGGATAACATAATAGAGCAGCTAGGCTCTAAGTTGAATAGATTAAACTTGTTTCCAATATACAAACAAATTATCAACAACACTACTCTGTGCAATTAAAGGTATAAAGTTTAACATTCATCTTTCAGAAGCTTCCTGCTTACTGATCTTATGGTGCAGTGGCACTTAAAGGGAAGGGAAAGGGATATGAATGTGATAGAAGAGGAAGGAAAAATACAAAGTCTATCATATTGTGATCTAAGCTAATGTAATCGAAATGTCCATTATTAACATCCATTCTTCAATCATTATTTATTTTAAGTGATATATCTCCATCTAATTGGTTCAGTAGAAAAGATTTCATTTCCCACATTATGCAGGTGTCAGTAGCCGGAGTGTTTACTATTCCCAAAGTTATTTACCACAAAATAATTTTTTTTCTAGTTGCAAACTGCAGAACAAATCGTTTCTTTGTAGAACACCCAAAGACAATGATTGTCCATTTTTTGTGATATGCATCCATCTAAGTCGTTTAGTACAAAAGATTTCATTGCCAAATCATGTAGATGTCAGCAGAACTAGTGTTCATGATTTCAGCAGAACTAGTGTTCATGAGTCATGACCTTTTATTGTCCATTTTTTGTGATATGCATCCATCTAAGTCGTTTAGTACAAAAGATTTCATTGCCAAATCATGTAGATGTCAGCAGAACTAGTGTTCATGATTTCAGCAGAACTAGTGTTCATGAGTCATGACCTTTTCCAGTCGCTAACCTTGTAGGACAAACAAACTTTTGTGAAAAAACCCAAAAAGACAATCCCTAAACAATAAAAAATCGAACTTTTTTCCACCCCCACTTTCTATCTCCAACATCCTACTAATCATAAACCAATTAAACAGTTAAAACAGTTTTCATACACTGCGATCCGATCAGGCACGAAGCTCCCCGTGGCCGACTTATACTCAAACCTACAGAAGAAATCATCATTCCCAACCGTATCAAGCCTCGTGTAGTTCTTAAAACTATGAACAATGCACTTCCCCTCGATCGTGTCCGCGCTCTGCACGTCGAAGTGATCGGAGAGGAACAGCTCCTTGGCTCCATGAAACCTCCTCCGGCCACCGATCGACTCCTCCGGCCTGTAGTACCACCGAACCCTAACCTTCACGTGTGCCCCACGGCGATCGGCCTCGATCGCCTCCACCTTGGCCACGTACGGAGCTTTGGAGGAGTCCGGGGCCCGCATTAGCACTGAATCTCCCGCTGCAAAAGAAAAAAGCGGGAAACTTAGAGTTGAGGATGGGATTTTTTTTAAGGGTTTTGGGAAATTGAGAGAATTACGTTTGATGATTTTGTTGGAGCCCTTGATGGCATAGGAATCGAGGGTGCGTTTCGATGATGGGCGGGACATCAAAATAAAATAAAATAATACTGAAATATCCCATTCTAAACATAACAAAAAAAAAAACAATTAACCATAAGTACTTTAAAGCTTTTTAAACCATGTTTCACAACAATACATAAACCCCCTTACATCAAAATAAAATAAAATAATACTGAAATATCCCATTCTAAACATAACAAAAAAAAAAACAATTAACCATAAGTACTTTAAAGCTTTTTAAACCATGAGTATCCAACTAAAGAATGGAACGCAGCTCCAATTTCACAACAATACATAAACCCCCTTACATCAAAATAAAATAAAATAATACTGAAATATCCCATTCTAAACATAACAAAAAAAAAAACAATTAACCATAAGTACTTTAAAGCTTTTTAAACCATGAGTATCCAACTAAAGAATGGAACGCAGCTCCAATTATATTCAAGCAGAAGCATTCTAACTTCAAACGATAACCATAAGACTGGCTTCACTACTGCAGAACGGTAAAGAATTTTGTAGGAATCAAGGTAAATGTAGTACAACATGGTAAAATGTTCAATTTGTTTGAAACTCTTCCATAGGCCAAAGGCCTATGATGTATATTTATAGATAGTCAATGTGAATAGGTTGAGTACCCAAGAGTCACCCCCACTTAATGGGGTGTTACACCATCATAATGGGGTGTGAATGGAGGGATAATGAGGGGGAGACCAAATGCCTCCCTCATCTCATAATACTCCCCCTTATCCATCCATTACCTTGGGTTTAGCTTATGAACACTTCAGAGTTCGTAAAGCTAATGGGGTGGATACTTCTGGATCCAGAGTAAACTTGTTTGCCTCGTTAAAACCTTAGCTGTGGAAAACCCAGTGGGAAAAAACCATCAGCCTAAGGAAAAAGAGTACAACCCATAGGTTACTCCTCCTGAACCATACAAGCTTCAGGCTTGTAGGTCTTTCAGATGTCTCATCCCTATTCCTTTTACAAGTTTTACAAAAGTACATCTAGGCAGAGCCTTAGTGAACAAGTCAGCTAAATTATTACATGATTGGATCTGCTGTACTTTAACTTGCTCCTCCTTTTGAAGATCATGTGTCCAGAATAACTTGGGAGATATGTGCTTCGTCTTGTCACCCTTGATGAAGCCAGACTGAAGTTGAGCAACGCAGGCTGCATTGTCTTCAAATATAGTAGTTGGCTCAAGGTCACCAGTCTTCAGGCCGGTAGACACTAAGATGTGCTGAATGACAGAACGAAGCCAAACACATTCTTTGCTGGTTTCATGGATCGCGAGGAGTTCGGAATGGTTGGATGAGATTGCTACAGTGGTTTGCTTGACAGACCTCCAGGAGATGGCCGTACCACCGAATGTAAACACAAATCCGGTTTGTGATTTCTCGGTGTGGGGATCAGACCTGTAACCTGCATCTGAATAACCAATTAAGGTGGGAGACCCACCCTTCGGGAAATATAATCCCAGGTCTATAGACCCTTGGAGGTAGCGCAGAAGATGCTTAACTCCATTCCAGTGGCGCTTTGTGGACGCTGCACTGTATCTGGCTAGTAGGTTAACTAAAAATGCTATATCGGGACGGGTACAGTTAGCCAGATATAATAGTGCTCCAATGGCACTGAGGTAAGGTACTTCAGGACCTAGCATTTCCTCCCCCTCTTCCAGCGGACGGAAGGGGTCGTTCTTTACATCCAATGATCGAACAACCATTGGTGTACTAAGAGGATGACATTTATCCATTCGGAAATTTTTAAGTAATTTCCGTGTATATGTGGATTGGTGTAACAGGATACCACCCTTAAGGTGTTCGATCTGTAAGCCAAGACAATACTTTGTTTTGCCTAGGTCTTTCATTTCAAAAGTATTCTTAAGGCTTTCAGATATCCCAGCGATCTCTGCAGGAGATCCAATGAGATTTAAGTCGTCGACATAGACGGCGACTATAATGAATCCTGTTCCCGATCTTTTTATAAAGATACACGGGCAGACTTTATCATTTGTGAATCCTTGCGTAGCAAGGAACTCACTTAGTCTGTTATACCACATTTTCCCCGATTGCTTAAGACCATATAATGATCTTTGAAGCCTAACAGAATAGACGTCCCGAGGTCTATCTGCTATCTCTGGTGGAATTTTATATCCTTCAGGGAGTTTCATATAGATATCTTTATCTATATTGCCATATAGATATGCAGTCACAACGTCCATGAGCTGCATTTCTAGGCCTTCCAGAGATGAGAGGCTTATTAGGAATCGGAAGGTATTCCCATCCATAACCGGAGAATATGTTTTTTCATAGTCTATTCCCCGTCTTTGGGAAAAACCTTGTGCTACAAGCCGTGCTTTGTAGCGCACAACCTCGTTGTGTTCATTTCTTTTTCTGATGAAGACCCACTTATATCCCACAGGTTTTACACCTTCAGGTGTTTGGACTACTGGTCCAAAGACTTCGCGTTTCAAGAGTGAGTCCAGCTCTACTCCTATTGCCTCGTTCCACTTTGGCCAATCGTCTCTGCGTTTACATTCCGCTATAGACCGTGGTTTGATGTCATCGTCGTATTCAGTGACGTGAACGGCAATATCGAACGCAAAGTCGTCGTCGACGACTGTGCTTTTTCTGTCCAGTACCTCCTCAGTACGTACAAAATTTAATGATGTTTCTCCTATTTGTTCCTCTTCAGGGGAATCTAGGAGGGGAGAGGAAGCTGGGCTGAGCTCAGTATCCTGTGTTGGGTTCATTTTTATTTCTCCAGGATTTTTTCTTTTACGAGGGACTTTGTCCTTCGAACCTGGTGGGCGTCCTCTTTTCAATTGAGGTACAGCCGTTTCTGCTGCCGGCGGATTGCATCCATCTTTGGGGATGTCAATCCTAGCTGGCGTGTTGACAGCAGGGACGTGTGATCTGACAATCTTCTGGTTATCAGTAAATTTATCCGGAAGTAAATGTACTGTATTCTGAAGATGAAGAATCTTTAGGATCTCATCTTCACATTGAATAGTACGCAGATCATAATGAGACAAAGTCTTGGTGTTCCAAGAAATGGTCTTAGAAGCGTCAGACTTCCTGGACTGTGTGCCAAGTTTAGGAAATGAATCCTCAACAAATTCACAATCATCAAGACGTGCCTTAAATGCGTCACCCGTCTGGGGTTCAAGGTATCTTATTATAGAGGGCGAATCAAACCCTATATAGATACCCAAACGATACTGTGGACCCATTTTGGTCCTTTGTGGAGGAGCAATTGGGACGTAAACTGCACAACCAAACACTCTCAAATGTGAGATATTCGGAGGTGCACCATAAGCAAGCTGCATTGGTGACAAAATATGGCCACCAGAGGGCCGTATTCTGATAAGTGATGCTGCATGCAATATTGCATGACCCCAAACCTCAACAGGCAACTGTGATTGCATCAACAATGGACGAGCAATCCATTGTAATCTCTTAATTAGAGATTCTGCTAACCCGTTCTGGGTGTGAACATGTGCTACAGGATGTTCAACTTCGATGCCAGTTGCTAGGCAATAATCTTGAAAGACTTGTGAAGTGAATTCTCCCGCATTATCAAGACGTAATTTCTTGATTTGATTATCGGGGAAATGAGCCCGCAACTTAATAATTTGTGCCAATAGCTTTGAAAAAGCTAAGTTGCGGGTGGACAAAAGGCACACGTAAGACCACTTGGTTGATGCATCTATAAGTACCATAAAGTACCTAAATGGTCCACTTGCGGGGTGAATAGGCCCACAAATATCTCCATGTATTCTCTCCAAGAAGCTAGGAGACTCTAATCCCACTTTCAGAAGGGAAGGTCTCGTGATCAGTTTACCTTGAAAACAAGATAGACATGAGTAATCACTCTTCTGAAGAATCTTCAGGCTCTTCAGGTTGTGTCCACTTGATTGGCTCGTGATGCGGTGCATCATTGCTGATCCTGGGTGACCCAGTCTGTTATGCCAAAGTTTAAATTTCGACAAAGAATGGCACTTCTGGTGCACAATCATGTTAGCTTCTACTGGTTGAATATATGTATGATAGAGACCCGACGGGAGTCCCTTGAATCGTTCTAAGATAGTTTTTGAACCATCTTTTTGACGAGTTACATACAAATACTCATCCTCATTTATTTCATTGGTTTCTAAGTGATATCCGTTTAAACGAATATCCTTGAAACTTATGAGGTTTCTATTAGATTTCGGAGAGAATAATGCATCTTTTATTATTAGTCTCGTTTTATTTGGGAGCAATATCATTGCTTCACCAAATCCTTCTATTATATTAGATAGTCCTGAAATCGTAATTACAGGATCGTCATAATCATATAAGCTATTGAAATAGCTTCTTTCGCGAAGGATTGTGTGCGTCGAGGCACTGTCCACAAGGCACTCACACTTCATCTATAACATGAATGCAATATTTTAATCTAAAGAAAATAACTATCTTTATTGAAAAGTAAATTGCATTACATGGAAAGTAAAGAACTAAAGATGAAAGTACTATGAGAATTTAAATGCATATAAAGATAACATGGATCTAGTCGAGAAGATCATCCATTTCGAAGTCATCAGCAGTGAACTGAGTAGACGGCTGCTTTTCCACCAGATTTGTTTCAACAGGAGACTTCTGGCTCGCTAGATACAGATCTTGGAGGTGTCGCGGAGTGCGACAGTTTCTGGACCAATGTCCAGTCATGCCACATCTGTGGCATTTGTCCTCCCAAGTGTTCTTGGGAATGGACGACAGCTCAGTGGTCTTCTTCTTCCACTTCTTCTTTCCCTCACTATTGCTGCTCTGGGGCGGGTTGTTTTTCTGGGGTGGACATCTGGCCTGCCACTTAGGGGCTTTCCCCTTGTTGAATTTACCCTTATGCTTTTTCTTCTGCTTCTGGGAAGAAAACATGTGAGCTTCGGGTAGAGGAGCTGAGCCTGCAGGGCGTAGGTTATGAGTGGCCAAAAGCAATTCTCTGTTTTGCTCCGCCATCAGAAGGGTGGAGTGCAATTCAGAATACTTTT